GCGTGCGGGAGAGGGGAGGGGCGGGGAGGGAGGGAGGGATCACCGGGCCCCGCCGCTCGGGCCGGCGCGCGGCCACCTCGCCATGTCCGAGCCCGCTCCGGCGCCGACGTCTTCTGTTTGGGTGAGCGGGAGCTGTCCAGAAGGGCTCTGCCGCTCGCTGGGGCAGCCAACCTACCCTCCCGGACCCGGGGCGGGGCCGCGCCGGACGGGCGCCGCGACTGGCCAATCGCCAGCCGAGCCTTCCCAGGAGGGTGGGCCTTCGTAATGCAGCTACCAATGGAGGTGGAGGGGGTGTGGCCGCGCGTTTCAGGTTTGGCTGACGGCTCGGTGCCTTTTTTCCTCCTTTGCTACAGGAATCAAACGTCAAGGAGAGGGAGGGAGGAGAAGGGGGGTGCTGGGGAGAGAGATTAGAGTGAGGGCGAGGAAGGATTAGGTGAAAGATGCTGTGTTTCTGGGCAGCTGCGATCTGGGGAAAGGGGCGATGCTCCGGTCTCCTTCGCCTCCCCTCAAAGCTTTTCTTTAGGCTGCTGAGCCTGGAGGAGAGGACACCGCTCGCTGGCTCGTGCTGGTGTGAAAACAAACGCGCGTCTCCTAGCAAGCTACTTCCTCAGAGTCCCCCGGGCGGGAGCCGCGAGTTTTGCTTTAAAAATGCAGGCGCTAATGTATTCTAATGCATGGTAAATTCCCGAGACTGGGGCGTGCGTAATCTACCCGGGCCAAAGCAACTCCATCGCCCGCGAGCTGCGGCCGCGCGCCCAGGGCCCACGGGTGGCGCGGGCAGCCGTAATGCATGCAAAGTTAACACAATAACATCGTTTAATTACTTGGCAAGCTCGTAAATCTCCCCGTTGTGAGGCTTCCGAAGGGCTCTGTGAGATTGCAAAACAAAACTAGAATTCCAGGAGCGGCGATTTCAAGGTGATCCAATCCTTGCTCTCTCCTATAGCGATTGGAAAAGAAGGGGGGGAGCGTTATAGAGCGGGTGGGGTGGGGGGTCGAAGGTTGCTGCAGACGTCTATAGTGAGCAAAGTTCGGGGGCGGGAGGTGTGCACAGGCTAGCCCGGACAATACCAGCGGATTTTTCATTTCAAGCCACACACATACACACACACGGGGAGGCACAAGGGGGAGAGGGGTACACAGATAGACACACAGACACACGGCTTCTCTCAAATCCCTATTGAGGAGCCTCCCTGGTTTCTGCGGTGACTGGGTGATAGCGACCCTGACATCTATCTGCATGAACAAACCCTGTTTCTGAAAAGACCAGAGTGCCCGAAGAAGGCCCGTAGTTATAAAAAGTAATCCTAAAGCAATATGAGGATTTACGTTGTTTGGTAGGGTGGAAGAAGAGCTGGAGGAAAAAAAAAAAAAGAGGTGGTGATTTCCACGGCCTATCTTGGGGAGTGCAGGAACGGTTTGGAGACGGCCTTCGAAGCCAGCGCTCGGTATTGGGGGGAAAAAAGTAACAGATTCTTTCAAAGCTGGTTATGCTGGGGCTGTGTTTGCCTCCGAAGATTCAAGCTAGCTGAGGTTGCGCAGATGTTGCCTTTGTTTAAAGAGACAGTAATTAAGGACAGGGTGGACATAAGTTTGAGAAGCGTGACCTATTTTCTTTTGATCAGCTGTCAAAAGAAGAGCAGGAGGTCTCCTTAAGACAGCCCCCTCCAGCCACTTCCAGCTGTTAGAGAAAACTTGATAAGAAAACAAGGACAGCCTACCATACTGTAAGTGGCTTCTTAGGGCTGGAGAAAACATTTAATTCATTTGGAAAACCGTTTCTTAGTTGGAGTGAGTGACCTTTTCTGCAGCCTTCTCTATCTTCTAGCCACAGAGAACCCACCACCACTATCCTGTCACATGAATGTATAGTGACGTTATTCATGGATCAGCTTTATTGAGCTCTGGCCAATACGTGGCCAATTATTCTTTCAAATAGCACATTCGGTGGTATCGAAGCCTGGGTGGACAAAAAAAAAATTCTCTGGCATATCCCCTGCTCTGCCAGACATAGTTTTCTGGCTGTTCACATCTTTAATGTGTTAACAAGAGACAGGTAAAAGAATTCAATTTTCTGTTGTTCTGTTTTCCTCTTTCCCTGACGCTTTCTACTGTATTTCTTTCCACTTCCTGCATTATCCATGGTATAATTGTAAACCAGCTAATGTTTGAAAGTTGCAGGACAGTAATGTGCTATCCCCCCCACCCCACACCCACCCCCAAAATGACGGAAATCAGGCCGAAGAGCAGGATTGGGAAGGGGGCATCGCTTCACTCTACCTTAACGCTTAAAGGTAAGCCTCTACTGCCTTGGCTGCAAGCTCAAGGAATGCCCAGGGACTTGCTGGTTGGTGTTGGCTTCTTACAAAAACCTACGTATATAAATCGCCATTTAAATAAATTTTCTAAATGATGAACTCATTTAGCAGTCCACGAAGATAAATCTGCTCCTGGGAATTGCATTTCAGTGTGCTTAGGAGCAGAAAGGTAAGTTGCATTTTCTCGCAGCTTCCTTTCTTCCTTTCTCCCTCCCTCCTGTGTCTCTCCCTTCCTCGCTCCGTCCTCCCCCTCCTACTCTCGATCAATATCGGCGATCTCAGGGAAATCATGAAATCGTATTGGCTTCTTTGTATATAATTTCATTGAGTTACATTAAAGCACATTTTTCACCTTGTTTTTCTAATGGTGGTTTGAGATTTCATGTTTCAAGCCAAGCCCATTTGAAAGGAAAAATGAAAGTACTTGTTTAGTCAGAACCCTAATTTTAACTAACTTAGGTTTGAATGCCCTTTCCTCTTTCTTTTTTAAAAGGAGCAAATAGTCATTTTCTACCTCAAGATAATCATCAGATGACCCATGCAAATAGGATTTTCAGCTACCTTTTAATAAAGCTTTTTTATATTTTTATTTACACCAAAAGGGTGAGTTGCTTTCTAATTGTCCCTTGGCTGGCATCTGTACAGTAGCCGTCACAAGTTCTGTATCCAAGTTCTGAGGCTCAGAATGCTGTGTTTTAAGTTGAAATTACACATGCCTCTCTCCCCTCCCACCTAGAGCATTTGATTCACAAATAGACTATAGAAATGTGGCGTCACAGCAGTTAGTTCATGACTATTAGAATCTGGACAGTTGCACCAGGAATATCATCAAGACCAGGAAACCCATCTCTTAGCACAGCACATCTGTAGATCATACATTCTTAAGACAAAAAACTTAAATGAATCCAAAGAAGCATGTAAAGGAAGTTTGAATAGGCTATTGCATTGTAAAAAAAAAAAAGGAATAAATATATCTAAGCTTAATTTAGCAATTGCAGGAAAAGATGGCAAATACTGTCAGAGTTTTTCATATGTATTTTTTCACATTTGAAGAATTATTGTTAGAGAGAAAGAAACATCCCATTAAAACTAAAACTCTATACATTATTCATGGGAGGGAAAAGACCACAAGTAAACAAAATCTGGATAAGAGACCAACACCTTTGTTATTAACTAAACAACAGTAACTATAGCCCAAATCTAGGGAAGAGGTGGGCTGTTCATTTTTTACCCAAATGTTCAAAGTCTCTTTGGGTTTTGTGTTGACCAGAACACATTTGTGCTGCAGCTAGGTTTACTAGACTAGAGCAATAAAAAAAAAAAAAGAAGACATAATGGTGGGTTGATTTGGAGTATTTTATTTTTGTCCTTTCCCAAACCATCTGGCGTGTGAGTGTAGGGGTATTGATCAGGATCTGTGAGCTGCAGACCCCATGCCAATCCATAGCGTTTCTGGCAATCAGTGTCGCCCATGAATTGCAGCTGTCTGTGTAGCTAGCTCCAGGACGGAAATCTTCAAAAAAAAAAGTCCCCCCCCCTTATCAAACACATCATCTGTTTCAGGGTAAGTCAATATCATTTCTTTGTCATTCTGAGAGCAAGGATTATGCAGGAGAGAAAGTTTTTGTTGTTTGTGTAGCTGCTGTGCCAGCTCACCCCCCTTTCCCCCTCTCTCTCCCTTCCTTTCTCCCTCTCCCTCCCCCCTCTTTAAAGGGAGGAGAGCAATTTTCTAGCCATTGAATGGTAATGGTTTCCCTGAAAGGCCTCAAGCATTTGTAAGTATTGGACAACAAATGCTGTTTCAGTATTGTGGGGGAATTTTAAGAAGAGAAAGAAATTCTTATGTTGCTATCCACAAATAATGTAATGGTAATAGAGGGTTTCTTTTCAGAATGGAGAATTTTCTTCTTCCCCTCTCTGTTCTTTTTTTCTCTCCGAGTCCTGGTAATGAAGACCCCACAGGTCTCTGCGATTACACAGTGCTGTTGGATAGTGGGTGTTTGTGAGGGTAAAAGAGCCTTCAGCATTTTGGCTCTGATATCTCCATTAGAGTCAGTTTTCTTCCGTCTGAAAGCTCAGGTTGGTTGAACATAGGAAGAAGAAAACTCAAGTCCAAACTCAACTCGCCTAACGAACTC